TAAATATAAAAATACTTTTTATAAAAGATTTGACTTTATTGCACAGGGAAATATTTAATTTTTTTTTATTTGAAAATTTCGGTAATTATTTTATTATTATTATCGAAGTTTCTATTATAATTATGTATTGCGTTTGATTTTTTGTTTTAACATCGAATAAAAAATTAAATTTTCTCTTACAGCTTTTATTTATTTATATAAAAACATATTTTAAATCTTGTAAAATTTTTCATGTGATTTTCTATTTATTACTTCAAGGAGGATCTCTGCCAAATGGGAAAGAGTTCTGCAACTTGCCTCCCCAACAGAAGAGAGAGAGAATCGACGATCGAAGCCGCGATTTGGACGCTGGGCTGTTGGGAACTGTTTGGCTCTGTGTTCGCATTGACATTTTGTCACTTAATTTGTTGTTTTTGCAGCGGGCTGCTGCAGGTTGGCTGGCTCGGCTGCACAGGCAACTGGTTTGGATTGGGCTTGCTTTGGCTGAGGCAGCTGGCCGTCGCTGCTGCTGCTGCTGCTGCTGCTAGTCGGCAATTGCCTCAGCTGCATGGTGCAGCAATTTGTTGGCCGATCGCAGATAGGGCAATTTTAATTGGACTTAACGGAAACTAGCAAAGAAATGCATGCAAAGCATACAAATGAAAGGTGAAACCGCAGACTGGGTAATGCCGGTGAGGAGAGCACGGACGGGGGCAGCATGTCAAAGTCTTGGCTAACTGCTGGTAAATGTGTTGGCTGCCTGGCTGGCTGGCTGTGAATTGAGCTATCTAAGAGTGATCATAGCAGCAGTGATCGCAGCTTGATTGCGCCACTCGGGATCCTGAGACCGAATCATTCTTTGACAGCAGCACAGATCGTGAGAAATTCACTCGGTGAATGCCAATTGGCAACTGATTTTCACAGCAAGTTAACATTCCGAGAGTACAACAACTTTCAAGATGGCTCAATTGTGATTTACTCATTATCGATGATCAGAGAACTATTGACAACACCAACTATACCATTAGGATAAGGTTGATTTTCAATTGTGTTAAATTTACATTGCTAAGTTCTTTAAGGACTAAATTCAATCCAGATGTCTATCTATCATTTCAGTCCTTGCCATGGATTTCTACTATCTAAAACAATTTCCTTGGACCTTAGACAAATGTGAATGCATTCACAATGCTGTGCTTTGTTCCCGCCGTCCAGTGGGTTAGGGTGCAGGGTCTGCTAGCTCGCTAGTTATGATTGATTTGACTGAGCAACGTAATCTAAACTCTTTCGTCATCAGCTCCATTGGCAGCGGCGGAGTCTAGTGAAACACCTGCGCCATTATTTTACGTTATTGTCGCACATAGCGAAGCCAATATATCATTGATAGCCGATGACGACGACGATGCTGCTGCTGCTGCTGCCAGCGACTCATATGTGTGTGTGTATGTGCTGTTGTTGCTTGAAGTGCTCCACGTCGTGGATGTTGCACATTTCTCAGACGTCACAGAGACTCCGTGCCCTGCCCTGCCCTGCCCCGCCCAGCTCTGCCTTGCCGGATGGCAGCGACCAGCCTGACCGTAGTGGGAACTGGGCTGGGCTGCGGCTGGGTCGTCGTACTGCTCTGGCCCGGCACGGCCCAGCCCGGTCGGGTGACTTATGTTAGCTGCCGCTGCAGCCGGCACATCCATCATCTATCAAAGACGAATTCATCTCCGTCAAATCGCAGGGCCTGCGCTTTGAATGTGGGCTACAGCGTTTATGAATAAATTGCACGTACGACGACACCTCATGGCTGCTGCACTTGCAGCATTGGCAGCAGCAGCTCCTCCTCGTGGCAGCAGCTCCTCCTCTTGGCCGCAGCCACGTCCCATGTCAACCCACTTGGCCGGCCTAGTCGCGCACTGCCAAATGAGCGCACAGGACGGGGTGACTAGCTGTGAAGGGGACACACAGACGAAAGGCGAAGACGATGACGATGACGATCATTTGGTGCCGCCGCCAGGAAATTTCAAATTTATTATCGCATTTGCCATTATTTATGATTTGTGCAAAATCTTGTCGTATATCAAAGTCAATGGTGTGACATAAACTATCGATGGCTATCGATAATTTACGTCAACTCTTTCCAGCTAATAGCAACACCAACAACTGCAACAGCAAGAGCAACACCAACTAAAATAATGATGAGACTGCGAATGATGCCGTTGACAATGTGCTGCTGCTGCTGCTGCTGCTGTTGCTGCTGCCATATTGAATTCGAATCGAGGAAACATACATATTTCGCGAATTGCATCCGCCTGAGCTGGCACCTTCGCTGCGAGCGTGCTGAGCTCGTTCGCTGGGCATGGCTAATCCAATCGAAAGCATTTATCATTAATCTCTGGACAAGTTTCGGCTAATCGTGATTCCACGCTCTACCAATATTTGTCTCGCAAATTTACCAGAAAGCTTATTGGATAATCTATTACTTCATTTATTCTAAGAGTCTACAATAATGGAGCTTTTACAATATATATTTAAGCAAATTACAATTAAAGATTATTTAAATCAAAGTATAGGTAAATCTACGATATAAATATAAATATTATCAGTAAAAAAAATTAATTGATAATAAAAATTTATCGATTAAAAAGCATTTTGAATACGATGTCAGCCCATTCGAATAAATGTTATGCCGTTTTTTTGCATACCTAATCTGCTACTTTTTCAAAAATGCCAGAGCAGACGTTACTCCCATTTTTTGCATACCTAAACTGAAAAATACCAAYAAAGAAGAAGAAGCTGTCTGATTGTCAGTTTGAAGTTTCCGCAACGCACGTGTCTTAGAAACATCTCGAAGTCTTTTCGTCAAACTTTTCTTACATCCGGTGTCTAGCCAAACCCCATTTGCCCTGAAGTCGTCGACTGAAGAACATCTCTCGTTGCTGAGCAAGTTGCATTCTGAAAATATAAGTTCTCCATTAAGTTTTTGAAAATTTTGAAGAAATATCTGAAAGCAATTTACAATGGAGTCGAATGGTAATGCAAAGCCACAAGAAGTGCCTGTGATCCAGGAGCAGGAGGAGGAGTTCGCTGAATCGGCTATGGAAACTGTCGAGAAAGGTGCAGCTGAGGCTATGGCTGACGGCGAAGGGGTAAAGATGGCGAAAGCTAACCTACAGATGTATGTGTGTGTGTATATCAGAAGTGCTTCTCATTTATATAGGTGGAAGCGGAGGCTCTAGCCGTCCCCATCGATCAGCCGATGAATGAATTAGAGGAAGCTAAGGAGAAGAAAACATTGACATCCATAATTACGCTACCCGAAGCCAAGCGGTTCTGTTCAGCTGAGCAAAATGCCTCTGGGATGAATCCGGAGTTGGTGGTGGCGCTGGTCGATAGGAACCAAGAGACCGGCACGATCACCCTCGACCAATGGCATCTGGTGGAGGCATCATTGAAAGAGGCCCTGACGAATTTGATGAGTTTTTCCGGCATAAAGCCCGCTAGGTTCAATGATGCCGGCTGGAAGGCCGGAACGAAGCTCATCTATTGCCTCGATGATTATTCTCTTAAGTGGCTCTGCGCTACTGTGGAGGCAGTGCAGCCGCCGTGGCCCAACGCGAAGCTGGCAATTGTCCACCGGAACTGCCAATTTCCGCTAGTCAAGCCCAAAGTGAGTCTACCCTTCTCAATGCCGACGGAGATAGTCGTGAATCTGTTCAAGTGGAAGAACGCTAATACGGTCACCTCCGAGTGGCAGGCGGTCAGCAAGCAGTCCGAGGTCGATGGGCAAAAAAAGCCGTTGAACAACAATGAGACTGGTAACATGATCTCGTCGAAACATGGCAACATGGCCTGGCGTCTGAGCACTGTGTACGTTAATTTCAAGAAGGAACCGGAAAAGCAAGCCGAGCAGCCGATGAACGAAGCGGCTGGGCAGACTGCTGTGGAGACTCCAGTCGAAAATCAGTTGCAAAATGCAGAGGAATCTATCATGGGCGATCATGATGAAATTGAGGAACCAGTTAAGCCCAATCGCGACGACGATATGGCTTAACCGGCTGAGCTATCGTAGGTGCCAGACACTATCCATATTATCATCGTATTCACGGACAGTTAAAACCATCACAGCTTACCACTACAAATTATTATGAAATACTTTGTCCCCTGTCTTTCAGTCCTTAAATAGTTTCATGAAACATTTCAATAAATGTGAGTTCCGATATTTGTTGAGTATATATTTATTATTTCGTATAATCGTGCTTAGTTGAAAAGTCGTGCGGGAACTGGTTCCATTAGGGCCTAAACTTTGCACAATAATTCCATTCAAATCGCCAATTATTGGGACATCGAAGTCGGAACAAACATCAAAGTGGCTTCAATTGCAATGCTGTAACGACTTGAGCGAACAGAATTTACAGTTGCATTATACACACTCTGGCACACTCACACACACACACACAGTTGCAGCTGGCTTGGAAGTTGTGCCGGAAAAATCTCTCGCATAATCATAAAATGACTTGGGAAAAAGGAAATTCTAGCGACAGATTTATGCACTCGAGAAAGCTTTCGCGCCGTTGAATGCATTCAATTCTCTCTATCGCTCACTCCCTCTCGCTCTCGTCCTCTCGCTCTATCTCGTGGAACTGCTCCACGATGGCTGCGATAGTCCTGCCCAGGGCCTGGCTGCAATTGCAACGCTAAAATGTGAAGGCGGCGCAATCGCCTGGATTTAGTTGCAATTATTTTTAATGTTGTTTACTTACTCTTCCAATTGATGATGCCAATAACTGTTTCAGAACTTCTCGCTCAAATCGATGTGCGCACACATACATACATACATGCATGCATGCATATACACTTTCCAGTGTTGTTAAGTGTGCAAAATATCGTAAATATGAATTGAAAGTCGAGCAGCGTGCAAAATATCGTAAACATGAGCCCAAAGTGAAGAAAGAGTTGGATTGCAAATTATTTTGTATTCAAAATAGATTCGTGGCTGCATAAGTCGTAGCCACAATGCGGACTGGTATGGGAGCCGATATATATGTATGTATATCAGAGGATTATCTCAGAGTCTTTCACAAACTCAATCTTTCACAGATTCGAGGAATTCACGCAGAGCTTTGGCAGCTTGGCTAATGGGAGTCGGAGGCAAAAGTATTCATAAATAATCCCATGAAATTACCACACGCATCAGACATTCAAGAGCTTTCCGCCTTCGAACCTATTTCTGGGGGCAATCTCAATTACGAGAACAAGGGCACACAGCTAGACAGAAGTCGATCGAAAAACTAATCAAATGCCGCTGCCCCAAAAAAATAGAGTGAAACAGGGCAGAAAAAGAAACCAGATGAGTCCTCGCCGCGAGTGGCACGTGGAGTATGAAACATTCATTTGACGCATGCGACATGCCACATCAGAGTCGGAGTTGGAGACGAAGACGAAGGACGGGAGTGATGCGCGAATTTGATATTATTGTATATGGCTGTGCGTGACGTTGCATCACGGACCAAATGGATGGAAATCGTGATGGAAGCGCGTCGAGCATAACAAGAGCCGCCAACTGACGCCTGATGGGCTGCATCAGTCYCAGCATCGGCATCGGCATCGGCATCAATGAAAGTGGCGTCAAACACCATCCAAGCGAGCTCAGCCCTGGCAGCATTTGGAGACGCCATTCACACGTACCGCTCATACATATCCGAGACACACAGGACTCGAGTTTAACCTTGTGCCTGGAGCGAAGGACGCATTGGGGGAGCACTGCGCTCGAGCACACACGCACATCAGGCCAACAACCGCTCGAACCGAATGTTAGCTAAATTACCTTAGCAGAGCACAGAATTGGGTGTTTTAGTATTTCCAGTATTATATTGACTCTCCAGGAGAAGAGCATCTCAGGCTGGTTTATGAATACAATTGTGTCTTGGCTCAGATCGGAAACATGTTAGAGTGTTAATGGAATTGTAATATAATCTTTGACTTGTCTTAAACAAATGAAGAACCTATTTTTTCTGTTTAGATTATAATATTTGAAGCTTGGACATGTATGTGAAAACTTTCTTTTATTCAAGATTTAAATATTATTGCTTAGCTATAACCATCACATCTTTAATGATCGAATTTGATTTGATTTATTTTTTAAGCCAAATTTAAGAAAT